CCGCTAAAAGGCGCTGGCTCTTGATTACCATGTCGTAGCGACTTTTCGGCCGTTGAGCCGCGTGAGCGGTAAAACTGTGGCTCTTGGTACTGACCAACTGATGTTGGACGGTGTGACGGTTGTGTTGCCTGTGACGGCTGCAGGGTTAGAGTAGGTTGGAACGGCTGCGGCTGCTGCAGTTTTATCTTCGGAAAGTCGTCGAATTCATTCACAATGGCGGCGGAAGAGGCGTTGCGTGCAGCTAACTTTTGTTGTGTGCGTTCCAATTTTTGCGACTTACGCGCTGTGGCAGTGGGTTTATTCTGGCTCTTCGTCGACTCATTAGGCAGGTATGTATTTGGACTCGGGCTTCGCCCTCTCGCGCTTCCGCCATTATCGCGATTCAGCTCGGTGTACTTTGGTGTCGTGCTCTTAATACGATAAATGCTGCTGGATGGATTGTACGTAGTAGGCTCAATTTTCTCTTGAGTTTGGTAGTCGATCGAGCTGAAGCTGAAACGGTTGGGGATATTGTAAGTAGGGCGCACAGTAGAGGTCGCTGTTGATGTAGATATTGCGGCTGCGGCTGCGGCTGGCGATGGAGAGGTGTTGGGCTTTTGTTGCGTAACATCATAGGAACTGATGTTGTAATAGGTCTGCAGTGTGACCTTCTTTGTAGTTTTGGGTGCGTTGGTGGCGGCAGATGTTGATGTTGTTGTGCTGCTAGTTGTTGTGCTAAGTTGCTGAATACGCTTCGGGCGTGTTGGTTGCGCGCGTGTTTTGCCGGTAGTGGATATTTCAGCTGTGGTCTTCTTGTTGTAGTCAATGAAATCGTTGAATTTCGTCTTCACTGGATGATCAATGAAATCATCCTCACGCCCACCATTGCGATTCGCAAAGAAATGCGAACTATGGGAACCTTTGAAGATGTCGTCGTACTCTTCTGCAAATGAATAGAAGTATCAATTAGATTTAGGTACCATAAGAAAATATGTGCGCGCAAAGATATAGCGCCTATTAATTAGATTTTGCACAACTTACGTTTTGACTCATCAAAATAGCGTTCCGTGGTTGTGGACGTTGTTGTTGTTGTTGTAGATGAAGTTGGTGTATAATAATTAACAATGGGTCGGCGCGCTGGTGTCGTTTCAATCTTCTTTGCCTGTGCTGGCTGATTTTGATATTCATTATCGTTGGCATTTGAATTCGCATAATTATTGTGGAAAGTGTTGCGTTGCTGTGTTGCGCCAAAATGTTTTGAATAGTTTGGCGGTTGATCGGGGCGTGACTTTTGATCTATGCNGCAAAGATATAGCGCCTATTAATTAGATTTTGCACAACTTACGTTTTGACTCATCAAAATAGCGTTCCGTGGTTGTGGACGTTGTTGTTGTTGTTGTAGATGAAGTTGGTGTATAATAATTAACAATGGGTCGGCGCGCTGGTGTCGTTTCAATCTTCTTTGCCTGTGCTGGCTGATTTTGATATTCATTATCGTTGGCATTTGAATTCGCATAATTATTGTGGAAAGTGTTGCGTTGCTGTGTTGCGCCAAAATGTTTTGAATAGTTTGGCGGTTGATCGGGGCGTGACTTTTGATCTATGCGTGTCTCCTTTGAACGTCGGATATCGCCTGTTGGTGAAGAAAGCCACAGAGTTATGACATAATTATGATGAATATTGCATAATTAAATTTAATTAGTGGCAGACAGAGACGCTTACAGCATTTAACTGAATATACAGGGTATTGGACTAACATAAATTTAGGCGTAGATAAATAATTTTAACATATTTTTGACTAAATTACTCACTATTTGCATAGCTTTTGAAGCAAAATATGCAAGTTACCCTATCCGGAAAGGTACTAAGTATGCAAGTCGAATTTCATGGCAAATGTTATTATTTTTTTATCGATGAAAATCCGTTAGTCTAAAGTTTTGCTAATATTTCTTGAAATAACTTTATTTTAGTTACCATAAATTGTATCCTCATTTCCAAAAAAAAAAAAAAATCGATAAGTAATGCTTGTTTTATATCGATATTTTCGACCAAACATTAAGAGTTAAAATTTGGCTTTTACTTTTTCGGCTACACTTACAGTTAAAGTTTGACATTAATTTTTCCGAAAATATAAAATAAAAGCCAGCTTTTGGTTGTAAATTTTTCGTTAAATAATAACGGTTTTATAAGGCTAAAATTTTTCCACTATAAATTGTTGTTTTCGTTAAAAAATAACAGTTTAAATTTGACTTTTAACTTTTCGATATTTTCGATCAAACATTAAGAGTTAAAATTTGGCTTTTATTTTTTCGGCTAAAAAGAACAGTTAAAGCTAGCTTTTAGATTTAATTTTTTCGTTAAGAAATAACAGTTAATATTGGACTTATATTTTTTCGTTAATATTTTTTTATATTTTTTTAAGAACTAACAATTAATATTTGACTAAATTTTTTTCATTAAAATTTCTCTTTTTTTCATATAAAAATAACAGTTTAAGGGCCGTTTTCTCAAGTAGGTTTTAAAAGTTATCTACCCTTTAAACCAGGGCTGCAAACCACTCCAAACAGTGCGGCTCGGTTCAGTAGTTCGAACTATTTAGAAAAGGCTTTTGTCGGTTCAAAAACCGGTTCATGAGTATTCCTGAACCGCGGTTCGGTTCGGTTCGGTTCAAATGGTTAAAAGCTAAAGGATACAAATATATATTACAAAAATATGACAAATCAATGTATATGAAAATAAAAGGCTTTGTTATTGAGATCAAATTCAAATACCCGCATGTACATACTATAGGCTGGAAAAATAAATAGGGACACGACATTTTAGTTTTTTTTTT